GGTTCAGGGTTTAGGGTTTTTGGTTCAGGGTTTAGGGTTTAGGGTTCAGGGTTTAGGGTTCAGGGTTTAGGGTTTAGGGTTCAGGGTTCAGGGTTTACGGTTTGGGGTTTTGAATGGCGTGTTTTCAACAGGAGAAGGGCGCAGGGTAGAGATGCGGCGATCTGGCATCAGAAGTTGCTTATATACTCTAAACCCCCACCCCGAAGCCCTAAACCCTAAAATCTAAACCCTAGTCTGGAAAAGCTAGTGCCTAAATCCTAGAGCATCGATTCAGAAAGACGCCCTCTGATCCCGAATTCCCGTAGCCAGAGTCTCAACCTCGAAACCAAACTCTGCTGCTGCTGCTGCTGCTGCTGCTGCTGCTGCTGCTGCTACTGCTATCACTACTACTACGACTACGACTACGACTACGACTACGATTTCGACGACTGCGACGACGACGACGACGACGACGACGACGACGATGACGACATCAACAACGACAACAGCAACAACTACTACTGCTACTACTAAGACGACGACGACTACTACTACTGCTGTTACTCCTGCTATTGTCGCTACCCTTTTGATGATTATGTCCATATTCACGATGCTGGTGACGATGATATGCGCAGTATTATGATGCTGTTGTGTAGACTATGAGCATGATGATGGTCATGAGTAGCGTCATGGCGAGTATCATGATTACATACTGTCCCTAAACCCCGCACCCCGTATCCAGCAACCATATACCCCTACATCCAAAGCCCCTAAATTAGAAATCCCAGCCCCTCGACCCTAAACCCTAAACCCTAAACCCTAAACCCTAAACCATTCGACACAAACTCTGAACGAAGCAAGAGGGAGGAGTAGCAGCGAAGATGTGGAGCCCTTTTGCTGCGCTGCCAAGGAAGATCTGGAGGAGGGTGGTGAGGAGCTGAAGCTCATTGCACTTTGGGAGGGCTTTCTGTGTTTTAAGTTGGTCTGGGTGTTTGGCGTAGGTTTGCGGTTTAGGATTGGGGGTCTGGGGGTTAGTTTCTTGATATGACAGAGTGACTGTACTTCCTGAACCCCATGGAGGCTTCACTTCCCGAATCCTCGGCCATCATATACAGGTCCCTAAGCCCTAAACCCCAGCCCCGAAGCCCTAAAACCCTGAACCCTACACTACTGCCTAGAAAGCTAAGCTTCACCTCAGGATTAGCAAGGCCACCGAGTTCTTCCTGGCCTACGTAGGCCCCGCATTTCCATTGCCTGCTGTTTCGGGCTCGAAGCTTGCCGGTGGTTGCTTCCTTAGGTGTTTCATATAGGGGCCTAAACAAATACCAATACTATTTTGGGGGGTTCCTTATTACAATACTAGTGTAACATACCCGAAGGCTCTACTCTAATCATTAAGGCCCCCCGTTTCAGGGCCCTAAATTGAACTCACGGGTTGATCTTTCAGGGGTTTAGGGCTTCAGGGTTCGGGCTTTCGGATTCAGGGTTTAGAGAGTTTAGGGGTTTAGGGCTTAAGGGGTTTAGGGTTTGGGGTTGGGGTTTAGGGTTTAGGGGCTTGTTTAGGGTGTCGGGGATTGGGGCTTCATGGGCTGGTTCATTGTGGGTGTAATGTGGGGGCCTAAATAATTACCAATACTGTTTGGGCGGCTCCTGATTAAAATTATAGTATAATGGGTCCCAAAACCCTATTCTAATTATTAAGGCCCCTAAAGTAAGCCGTTTGGCATTTTGCAGTTCTTGGGAGTGGGGTCTTCGCTTGTCTAGGCCAGGGCGGTCATGTTGAGATCCAGCACAGCCTCTACATTTCAGAACTCGGACAAAGCCTAAACCACGATACCCTAAACCCTAAACCCTAAACCCTAAACCCTAAACCCTAAGCCCTAAACCTTAAACCCTAAACCCTAAGTTGCCCCAACCGTGAGCCTCCGAAGCCCCAAATGCTATAGCTATAAATCCTACAGCCAACATCCAGGGGCCTCAATGAGGGTTTAGGGTTTAGGGTTTAGGGTTTAGGGTTTAGGGTTTGCTGTAGAGTGGCGTATAGCGGAAGTACTTAGTGGCAGTGTGGTTTCGAGTGCATCGTAGCTTGACGATTCGCTGCTAAAACTTGACTATGGAGAGCTCCTTTTTTT